CATGAACTTTGCCTGGGCTGGCCTTCAACCCTGATCCTCCCCATCTCAGCCCCACGAGTAGCTAGGATTACAGGCCTGAGCCACCAGGGCCTACCTTTATGTTGGTTCTTGAAGAAAACTTGTATTCTGACCCTATGTCTGCCTTTGACTGGTAGAATAAAATAATTCTGAGCAAGTCGCATTACTTCTCCACATCTTTATCTTCATTTATCCAATGAAAGATTTAGACTAGATAACCTCTAAATTCCTTTCCTGTCCTAAAATTCCATAGTTCAAGGATATAAGAAATAAATAAGAATGAAATAGTTAAGTATTTTAAAAATATTTTAGGGCTGTTGATGTTGCTCAATGGTCCAGTAGTTGCCTTACATGTGCGAAGCCCTGGGTTCCATTCCCAGCAAGGCAAAAAAAAAAAAAAAAAAAAAAAAAATCAAAGACCCTGGAAAGCAGTCCTTGAAGAAAGGGAAGAAGGCCTAGTAGTGAAGAGTCAAAAAATTGTTTATGCTGGTGGAATGGCTCAAGAGGTACAAGTGCCTGCCAAGCAAGGGTGAACCCTGAGTTCAAACCCCAGTGCCACCAAAAAAAAAAATATCATTTAAAAAGAGGGGAGAGACAAAGTGTAATAGAAAGGGTGAATTTAATCAAAGTACATTATGTATGGAAATATCACAATGAAACTCCTTTGTACAATTAATGTATGCTAAGAAAAAAAAGAAAAAAATCTGGCCCTGCAGAAAAACATCGAGGAAAAGCCTAGTAGGAGGCAGATATGTCAGAGAAAAACTGCTGTGATAGAAGTTGAAAAGCCATCCTGTATAGGCTCCTCTTAGGAAGAGCAGGCAGGGAGAGGTAACAAAAACTGAGGACAGAATCTGAATGGTTACCAGGCTGGGCATTGGTAAAGGAGGAAGAGACTGGAAGCTTTAAAAAGAGCTTTCTTCTTCTGTTGTATCCCCCACCATTTTCTTTCATCTGCAATACTATCTGGCACATAATAGGCACTCTATGGATATTTTATTCATTAATTAACTTGTTAATTATATTTTACATTATAATTGCAGTTCTGTGGATATGTGAGAAATCTGTATCACTGTTATTAAGAATGAATAAATTCATAGCCAAGTGTAGTGGGACATGCTGCAATTCTAGCACTCAGGAGGCTGAGGTAGAGAGATCTCAAGTTCAAGGCCAGCCTGGGCTACATAGACAGACCCTGTTTAAAAAAAATGAGTAATTCATGACTAAATGGTAGTGAAAGACGGAAGTTGAGAAGGCATTCTAATATGAAGAAACAGTCAAAAAGGTGTCAGAGCCGTGTGCCAGTGGCTCATGCCTGTAATCCTAGCTACTCAGGAGGCAGAGATCAGGAAGATCGCCATTCAAAGCCAGCTGGAGCAAATAGTCTGATAAACCTTTCACAAAAATAGGGCTGGTGGAGTGGCTCAAGGTGAAGGCCCTGAGTTTAGGCCCTAGTACTGCAAAAAAAAAAAAAAAAAAAGTCAGAGTCATAATACAGCCTAGGAAACAGAATATCCTTAGAGTTAGGACATAAGGAATAAGAAGAAAAAAATGGGTTGTGATGTTTGGTAAAGTCTGGGTTACAGTTATGTACATTTCTGTAATTCCAGCATTTGGGAGTTTGAGGCAGGAGGATCAAGAGTTCAAGGCCAGCCTGGACTACATAGCAAGACTGTTTTTAAAAAAGACTAGTAATCTCAGGCTTATAAGGCCACACTAAGTTTTTATTATTAAATTTTTATTATATACCAATCTATTAACCCTAACAACTTTTTTAGTGTCAAAACCATACAGATACCTACATATTACTAATTACATTTTTAGTATCAGTTCATTAAGATATATATAATGAAAAATTTATGAATTCACTAGTAATTTCAAATAAATCTTATTTTATTCATCACAAATCTCATGCTTTTTACAGAAGTGAGATTTTGTAGATATTTTTTCAGTAGTAGACATACTGAGAACCACTGCTCCAATAATAACAGCAGTAGTGAGTGCCTATGCTAAGCACTGTACACATAACTCATTGAATTCACGTGACCATGTAAGACAGGCTTTGTTATTATCCCATTTGTGAAAGAGGAATTTTTTTTTACCCCTTTACTAAGAGACTCTAATTTTCATCTGGGGATATCATTTCCCACTTATAAGACTCGTTGATCTCTGGGGTGATGTGTGACTAAGTTCAGGTCACTGAGAAGTGAGTGGAAATGTATACTTGGAAAAATATTCTTAAAATTTGGGGAGAAGAGGGTGTTTTCTTCCTGCTTCCTAGATCGAGAATGCCATGGCTAAGAGCTGGACCTGTGGTTCAAGTGGTAGAGTGCCTGCCTAGTAAGTGTGAGTCCCCGAGTTCAAGCCCTAGGAGAGAGAGAGTTTCCATATATCTCACCTCCAATTTTTCATTATTAACATCCTGTATTACTATGATACATTTGTGACAATGAGCCAATAAGAAAAAATTGTTAACTAAGTATATATTTTATTCAAACTTCTTTAGTTTTTATCCATTGTCCTTGTTCTGTTCTATGATCCCAAATTGCATTTAGTCATATGTCTTCTTAGGTTCCTTTGGGTAGTGGCAGCTTTTCAGGTTTTCCTTGTTTTTGATGACTTTGACAAGTTTTTGTTCTGTGGTGCTGGCACTCAAACTCAGGGCTTTACACATATTAGGTACTGAGCTATGCCCTCAGCTCACCTTCACAGTTTTGAGGAGTATTGATCAGGTACTTCATGGAATGTCCCTCTACTTGGATTTGTGTGATGTTTTTTCTCATGATCACACTAGGGTTATAAGTTTTTGAGAGGAAAACCATGGAGTGTTACCATCATCACATCATATCAAGAATAGATACTGAAATGATATATCACTGTTAATGTTAACCTTGATCACCTGACTTAAAGAATTGATTTATACCTTAATTCATTTAATGCCTAATCCAGAACTACCTATGGAAAAGCACTTATATACTGCCTTAGTGATTTCTTGATTAGATTCAAGAGTAGGCAGAGTAGGTTGTGAGGTAATTACAAAATAGGAAAAAAAAATGGAAAGAGGATTGGCTTTCAAGCTGTAATACCGGCACTTACTAGATTATAACTTTGATCAAGTTACATGTGCACCTATAAAATAGAATAACAGTACCAACAGATATTGAGAAAATGTTTGTGCATGTGTTTTGTACTATGTTACAGTTTTAGATCTATCAAAATCCTACACAAAAACATTTTTGGAAAGAGTAAAATGTTAAGCTGTTAGCATCACTATTAAGTGATTAATTAATCTATTAAGATTAATTTTCAACTACTGGCTGAACAGAACAAGGCTAATATGAGTAGAAGAAAGCAGAGGTGGGAGTGATAATAGTATCTAATTTTGGCTTTGATTCCTTTTGCCAAAGGCTGCTTGATATCTGAGAGTTGGAGATTTCTCAGATCTTATGAGGCCAGACAGAGCAAAGAGCTCAACAATTTCTTTCTTTCTTTTTTTTTTTTTTTGAGACAGGGTCTTGCTATGTAGCCTAGGCTGGCCTTAAACTCACAACCATTCTGCCTCGGTCTTCCAAGGGCTGGGATTACAGATGTGCACCATCACACCTGGCTAAGAACTCAACGTTGATGTGAACTAAGTATTAATTTTGTTGTTATTTGTTTTCCTGTACAGTATCTTTGGAGATAAACCATTCCTCTTTGAAAGTGCAATACTTTTTCCAAACTGTATGGCAAGTAACTTTATTTTTGAAAATGCACAGAAAAGGGCAGGGGATGTAGCTCAGTGTTAGAGCACTTGCTTATTATGTCTTGGGTTCAACCTCTAGCACCAAAAAGAAAAGAAAAAAAACAAGGATACAGAGAATAATTATTCAAAGATGAAATGTCTTCCTCAAAATCGATTTGAATGAAAAACTGAAGTTCTTGAGGTTTTATGCTGATGAAAGTTGACCCTGCGGTCTGAAAAATACAGCAAAATCCATTCTCTTCTTTAACAGGTGAGTTAGTGGCTTTTAAATTTTTTTATGCATATACAAAAGAAATATGCAGAGAACAGGTGAGGCCTTCTCTGCATTATTAAAATTAACGCAGCACGTATAGTAACAGCTAGCCTGCTATAAAGCAAAGCGCAATGGTGTTAAGTGTCCAGTCGTCTGGATTCTATTTCAAACAAGATATAGGACTTGGAGGTTTTTGAACATCTTTGAGTCTTGGATTTCTCCATCTGTAAAACTGTTAAGAGGGTAAGAGATTAGGTGTGCAAAAGCAACGTGTAAGAGAGCTATTATTTCTAACCTAGAATGTGTGCGCTGTCAGTATCTGTGCATTAGTTAACATTCATTGAGGGCAGCTTCTGGACTTTCTATGTGGAAGCAAAAGCAGCAATGCGTTTAAAAAATTGGTGCTCACCACATTCCGAAATTCTTTCGGTTCATGAAAGTAGTAACCTTGGAAAACCAGGCTGGCATCACCTAAAGTTTAGGATGTGATTTTTAACGTCATGTCTGGGGCAACGCTATTTTATGGCCTTATTCTGTTTTCTTTTCACCTTAGTAGCGCAAACGAGAAAATTTCCTACCGAAGCTTTGCAGTCAGCTCTTTCTGGCGGCACCTCACCTGCTTCCCCTACTTAGGGTCGCAGTCCCAGAAGTCCTCAAAGACAAAAACCTTGCGAGGGCCACTGTAGGGCAGGAACTCCCTAGACCTTGGATCAAAGGAACCACCAGGTAGCAGCAGAAAGGAGTGCCAAGCCACCCAGGTAAGCAACAGAGCCCAGATGTCCAAATTTACCACCACACAACCCTCACCAGAGATAAACCTCGCGAGATAACACGGCAAGGTGGCGACAGGAAGCCCACTATCTCGCGAGAAGAGGAGGGGGTGTCGGCGGAAACGGGCAAAAGGCCCCCTAGGCTACCGGCCCCGGCCAGTGGGCGGGGCCAGAGTAAATCCGCCCCCTTCCGGCTCCTTTCCCCACCCTCAACCCTGAGGTGTCAGGCCAGGGGGTGCGGTGGATGTGTTCTCCTGGTTTCTGGCCGCTGGTGCTGGGTAGGGTTCCGAGCCTCCGGCACGCGCTTTGAGTCGCATTTGAGGAGGGGGGGCGGGGAGGAACCTGCGGCTTGCGGCCCCGCCCCCTTCTCCAGCTTGCCGGTGAGTGGCAGAACCCGCCTCCTCCTCCCGCCGGCCCTGGGGCAGCGTCCCCGGGGTAACTCAGTAGTCCAGGCCTGAGCTTCTGCCCGCAGGTGTCGGCGCCAAGACTCCATGGTGGGTTTTGGGGCCAACCGGCGGGCTGGCCGCCTGCCCTCCCTCGTGCTGGTGGTGCTGCTAGTGGTAATTATCGTCCTTGCCTTCAACTACTGGAGCATCTCCTCCCGCCACGTCCTGCTCCAGGAGGAGGTGGCCGAGCTGCAGGGGCAGGTCCAGCGCACCGAGGTGGCCCGCGGTCGTCTGGAGAAGCGCAATTCAGACCTCTTGCTCTTGGTGGACACGCACAAGAAACAGATTGACCAGAAGGAGGCCGACTACGGCCGCCTTAGTAGCCGGCTGCAGGCCAGGGAAGGCCTGGGGAAGAGATGCGAGGATGACAAGGTAAGGTCGAGCCCTTTCCCCTGCACCCCCATGGTTTTTCTTTAAGTTCCGGGATGGCTGCTTTATCCTTTCCAGGATCTTAGTCCTGAAAGCGTCCCTTACCCCTAAGGATCCTGTTTCTGCAGACTTTTCCCAGCTTATCAGTGTTACACCCTCTCTAGTCCCTGCCAGAGGCTGGCTGTAAGTTCTGGTTCTCTGGAGTGGCCTGTGTGTGGATGCCGCCTTTTCTCCACGTTCAGCTGCTGAGCTGGCAGTGGTAGTCATCTGGTCTATGTGGCGCCTAGATCTGGAGGCTGCCGAGTTTCCTGTGGGTATTGTTGTCTCATCCTTATTCTGTGTATACCGATCAGTATTAATTTTTTTACTTAAAAATGGGACCTCTTCTAACTTCTCTTTTTTGGAATGACAACACATATTTTTTAAGCAGTACGTCTTTTTAAATCTCTAAGGCTGATGTACTAAATAAATAAAGAATCAGATATTTCTGCCTTTTTGTGATCCAAGTGTTATGATAGATGGGCCCTGGAGCCATTTCTTGTGACTTGGTCATAGTTAATCCAAAATTATCTACTTAATTTGAATTGTTAATGAAATTAACCAAAATGGTAGAATATAAGTTCTAAGGAACAGAATCTTGTGTCTGTGTTCTTGTTCTTGAAAGAAAAGAAAATGAAATTGTGTATGCTTAAGTAGCTACACTACTTAAGTAGGTTGATGTTTTATGTAGATAGAAAGGTACAAAGTTTTAAATTTAAAAAATTTAAAACTGGACAGTGACCATACTTGTTACTAAATAGTATTTGTTTTCATTATTATACTAGTAGCTATATTAATAGTTTATGACTTATGCAACTTCTGTTGGTACTGAAAATTGTGAAAATTTCTAGGTGAGATAGTAGTGGCCTTCTTCTCCAAATTCTTCCATAATCTTCATTTTTGTTCTTGGTGTAAGTTCTTTTTGTAAATCTAAATTCCTATTGTAATTCTAATTATAATTTTGCATTTCCAAGTCATTTATAGTAAATCATTACAAATACAATCTCCATGAACTCCCAACTTACCTATTGTTATCAGCTTCTACCTTGTTTAGCATTTCTTTAAGATTGAGGGTCTCAGGTAAGTTCTTCTCTCCATCCCCTTTTCTCTTAACCATAGCATAGATGTTCTCTGAGAGGAGTAAGAGATCAGCAAATTTACCCGTATATTGCACACTAACTCTAAAGACTGAAAAACTCTTGGATGGAGTAAGTAGAAATCCATAAAATTTTGGAGTATTAAAGTCTTCAGTCTGGGTGCAGTGGTGCATGCTTGTAATCGCAGCGCTTGGGGAGCTGAGGCAGGAGGATCATGAATTCCAGTCCAGCCTGGGCACTCGGGATTGAACTCAGGGTGTTCATGCTTGCTAGGCAGGCACTCTTACCACTTAAGCCACTCCACCAGCCTTTTTTTGTGTTGGGTATTTTTGAGATAGGGTCTCTTGAACTTGTTGCCCTGGGCTGGTTTCGAACTGTGATGTTCCTGATCACTGCTTCTGGAGTAGCTAGGATTACAGGAATGAGTCACTGGCTTCTGATTTAGACTTAGAATTGTTAAACATTACTACCCAAAGGACAGCTAAGTCCTTTCTAGTATATAGTCTGAATTCCATTTCTTCTATCCATTGAACAGTATCAGTCTCAGTATGTTTTCATGTGGTTTTTTTTTTTTTTTTTTTTTTTCATTACTGGGGCATGAACTCAGGGCCTATACCTTGAGACACTCCACCAGCCCTTTTTTTGTGAAGGATTTTTTTTTTTGAGATAGGGTCTCAAAGTATTTTCCCAGGGTGCTTTCAAACCAGATTCCTCCTGATTTCTGCCTCCTGAGTAGCTAGGATTACAGGTATGAGCCACTGGTGTCTGATTTCCTCTATGTATTCCCATCTAACAACTAATTTCTTCTTTTACTTTCACTGCTAAACTCAAATTATTGGTGGTCTGTTAACTTAATTGGTAGCTCCATCTACCTGCCTCTTTTTTGTCACCATCCTAATCTTTTAAAATTCTCTCAGACATCTTTTTTTCCTCCCCGTTTCTGAAGGTCATAAGTAGCAGTTCCAGTCAAATTCAAAGAAACATTTTTATTCTCGATTATTTATTTGTTTTTGGTTTTTTCGTAGTGCTGGGGATTGAACCCAGTGCCTCAAGCATGCTAGGCAAGTGCATGCTTCAGTTATATCCCTAGCCCTTATTTATTTGAGACAGGGTCTCACTGTGCTGGTCTCCAACTCTTGATCCTAATGCCTCTACCTTCTGAGTTGAGATTGTGAGTGCATCCCCACACCCAGCTTCTGAATCTATTTAGTCTCTAGATTGGTCCTGTTGATTGTCTCTAGCCTCTTCAGGCTCTTCCTACTTTCTTCACTGTAGTTGCTGAATTTTTTTTCCCTTCTACCCACTCTATTTTTGGGGCATTTGCGTTCTCTTTAGAGCAGTATTTCCTAAAGTGATAAACAGAAGTCTGTTCTTTGAATTGTTCTGGAGGAAAAGGAAAACCTTCTTGGAGGGAAATGTTGAGTAGTGATCTACTTCTTGGAGTTTATAATGCCTCTGGCACATTAACAGCGCTGAGAAATCCATTAATGAAGAACCATTAGTAAAGAAGTCTGTTTTGGGGAGGGGGAGGGCAGAAGGAGGGAGGAGGTGCCCCAAACAATGTATACACATGTAAGTAAATGTAAAAATGATAAAATAAGAGAAAGAAAAAAAAAAATAGGGGTGGTAGAGTGGCTCAAGGTGAAGGCCCCAAGTTCAAGTCCCAGTACTGAAAAAAAAGTCTATTTTATTTGTTTGGTCCAATTCCTGTCAGTTTATTTGATCAGGTTTCTTCTTGGCCTACCTGTTACCAGGGTATATAAGAATGTAGCAAACCACACTGGTTTGGGAAATGTCACTCTAAGTATCTTTAATTTAAATGCTTGGCTAATATTCTATTGCTGCTGGATCATAAATCTGTATCTCACTTGTATGCCAATTTTATAGTTTGACCTACCTATAACATCTTTTTGATGTGCCTATGAATATTCTTGGGGTTAATGAGGAAGCTCTGAGTTGCTTAATAGAAAGGGTAGTCTTGGTTGCTATCTTCTTTTATTTATTTTTTTTTTTTAGTAAACTTTTATTTTAGAACAGTTTTAGATCTAGAAAATTATTGTGAAGATTGTAAGGGAGCTTATGTATATTCCAGAGCCAGTTCCCCCCATTATTAATGTTTTAAACTAAGATGGAGCATTTGTCATAATTAGTGAATCAGTATTGATGTATTACTATTAACTAATGACCATTCTTTTCAGATTGACCATTCTTTTCAGATTTCTTCATGTTTTTTTCTGTTCTAGGATCCCATCCAGGGTGCCACATTATATTTAGTCATTATGGCTCCTTAAGCTCCTTTTAATTGTGCCAGCTTTTTAGATTTTCCTTGTTTTTGATGACCTTGACCGTTTTGAGGATTACTAGTCTGGTGTATTGTAGAATGTACCACATTTGGGATTTGTCTGGCTCTTTTCTCAGAATCAGGCTGGGGTTATGGTTTTTGGAACAGAGACCGCAGTGGTAAAGTACCGATCATATCAAGGGCATACCTTTTTTTTTTTTTTTTGGTGTGATTGGGGTTTTAACTCAGGGCTTCACACTTGCAAAGCAGGTGCTCTACTGCTTGAGCCACACCTCTAGCCCACAAGCATGTATCTTTTAAAATGACTTAGACTATTGATATTAACCTTGATCCCCTGGCTTTAGGTAGAGTAATTGTAGAATTACTCTTTCTTTCTCCCTTCCTAAAAGGTTTGCTTTAGAAGAAAGTCATTGTATACAGCTATACTTAATGAGTGGGTAGTATGTCTATATAAACTTTTTGAAGTTCTCCACAGGAAATTTGTCTTTTCTCCTTCTCTTAGTAATTTCTTCAGTTACTTATTTCTATCCATATGTACTCACAGATATTTATTTTCTACTTTGAACTGTAGTCCAGTGCTACTTTTTGTTGCTTAAATTGTTCCAGCTTTGGGCATTGGGGACCTCCTGCAGTTGACTTCTACCTCTCTTTCTTATTTTTATGTGCCAGTAATTACTGGAAGATTTCATATAGCCCATACCCAGTTTTATTGTGACATACCCTTCCTTATTTTTTGGCACTATAACATGTTCCAGGCTCATCTTGAATATTTCCTGCTTCAGATGTGGGTGCTAATGCATGCCTGTTGCTACTGTCAGGCTATCTTTGGAAATCTAGGAATTTCTGCTCTACAGGAATCAGAAAGGTAACTTTTGCTTCTTCCAATGTATTATGCTATCTGCCATTTCCAATGTGTTACCTAGGCCATTAAACACAGAATAAGGGACCTTGAAATTTGTCCAGGAAAGTGAGAAACAAGCCCCATTTCTCTGGATTCCTCCAAATTTTCCATATTTTTTGCCTTACCTATAAAGGATTTCAGTTTGGAGGAAAACATTAGTTTGCTACATTACCATAACAAAAATACTGCAGACTAGGTGGTTAAACAAAGAACTTTATTTTCTCAAGTTGTGAAAGGTGGAAGTCCAAGATCAAGGTACTGGCAGCATTTCTTCTGAGGCCTTTCTCCTTGACTTGCAGATAGCTGCCTTTCTGCTTTATGGTGCTCCCTCTGCCTGTGCATCAGTGTTGTCTTATACTCTTCGTAGATACCAGCCATGTTGGATGAGGGCCCATTATTTAACTTAATCACCTTTTTAAAGTCCTTATTTTGACTGAATATGTGGCTCAGTGGTAGAGCACTTGCATGAGGCCCTGAGTTCAATCCTCAGCACCTCAAAAAGGAAAGAAAGGGAGGGAAGAAGGGAGGAAGGAAGGAAGGAAGGTCTTGTCTCTATATATAGTTTCATTGTAAGATCCTGGGGGTTGGGAACCTCAATGTATAAATTTGTGATTTTGTGGTCACATGCAATTTAGTTTACATCTTAGGGAAAATCTAACACACA